CCCAGACCCCACCATCTCACGATTGTATGTGTGTGGAGTGATATCTGTGTGAGTCAGTCTATGTGAGTCAGTCCGTTTATCAGACTTCCGCTGCATATATGCTCATCCTACATTGGTTGATCTTTGGTTCTGCCCATACTCATTGAAGTATGTAACATTGCACCTTCTTTGGCCTTGTCTCTCTTCCACCACCACGTCTTCTGCCTCCTCAAGATCTTCCTCCTCAACATTCTCCCTCGGTCTTTTTTCTTTGGAGCGGCCTTACGATTAACTGCCCTGCACCAAGTATTTCAGGGTATCGATATTTCTTTCCATACTTCACTCTCTTCCTCCCCAAGCCCTACACACACCACACTGAGTCACCTCTCTCTCTCTCTCTCTCTCTCTCTCTCTCTCTCTCTCTCTCTCTCTCTCTCTCTCTCTCTCTCTGTCTCTCTGTGTCTCTCTCGCGCGCGCGCGTGCAAGCGCGCGCGCCATCCATCCACACCTCTCGCTGTGTGCGTCTGTGCGCAACCGCATGTTCGACACGCTCGCCCTTATTCACATTGGAAAAAAAATGTGGCGCTAAGCCTTAACGCAAATTGAGAAAGCTAAGAAAAACGGAATGCACTCTCTATATCATTCCCAGATTAGGTAGCACGAAGGGAGGGAGGACAGAGGGTCGAGGAAGGTAACGCCACTGGAGGAGAGCGCAAAGGCGACGGAGGGAAGAAGGAAGGAGAAAGGGAGGAAGAAGGGAGGGCCGATGATGAGCACCAAAAGCACGTCTAGATGGATTCACGATGAGCACGCATCCACGATGAGCACGCATCCACGGTGACCACGTCTGGATGAGCATGAAAATCACGGATCAATGATGAGCACATCTGGATGGATTCACGATGAGCACCGAGCATGAAAAGCACACATCCACGGTGATCACCGGTGGATGGATTCACGATGAGCATGCATCCACGGCGATCACCGAGCATGAAAAGCACGGATCAATGATGAGTATGAAAAGCACGTATCAACGATGAGCACGAAAAGCACGGATCAATGATGAGCATGAAAAGCACCGATCGCCGATGAGCATGAAAAGCACGTATCCACGATGGCACGAAAAGCACGGATCGACGATGAGCATGAAAAACACGTATCCACGATGGCACGAAAAGCACGGATCAACGATGAGCATGAAAAGCACGTATCCACGATGAGCACCGAGCACGATGAGCACCGACCACCAAAAGCACGGATCGAAGATGAGCACGTTATCATGCACCAAAGTTCCCACACGAATCCACGATGATGAGCACGAAAAGTACGGATCCACGGTCAGCACGTGACCAAAAGCACAGATCCATGATGAGCAGGTGACGAAAAGCATGATCCACGATGAGCACGTGGTCGTGCTCCAAAGAAAAGCACGGATCCTCGATGAGCACGATGGAGAGAACACAATGAGCACCAATACAGTGTATACACTCAAAAAAAGCACTGTGCAGTCCGCCCCTCCGCGTCTTCATGCCCAACACCACTGTGTGTGT